ATTTTAATATTAAAAAAATTTAGAGCGAAAAGGTGTAGAAGATACTGCTGTGGATGATGATTTTGAAATTGCATTGGATGAAGCAGCTGCTGAAGATAATAATAATAGACCAAAGAAACTACAAAAAACTGGGCGCAATAAAAAACGTGTCATGAAGGTATTGTATAGATGATAATTGATTAATTAATTAATTATTTAATTAATTAATTGATTATTTATTTATTTATTTAATTATTTAAGTTATTTAAAATTATTATTAATTATTTTTAATATGATTTTAATAAAATTATAAAATAAAAAATTTAAAAGGATACAAAATTTGGATATGGTGGAAAGAAACGATTTGCCAAATCAAATACTGCGGAATCTTCTGGTAACATTCCTATATTCGATACAAAAAATATTAAGAAAGGTTTGAAGGTATGAAAATATTTATCATATTTAATGTTTTTATATTACATTTATATTTATATTATATTTATATTTTATTTTATTATATTAATTGTTGTTGTAGAATTCAAATGATTCAAATTCAAATCCAAGATTATCCAAAAAAAAAATTATAAAGAGTCGACCCGGTAAAGCTAGACGTCAAAAGGAAAGAAAAAATAAAAAATAGAGTTAATTTTTTTTTTTTTAATTTGTAATTTACACAATTGAATTAATTTTTGAATTTTTTGAATATTTTGATTTATTTAAGTTAAAAAAAAAAGGGATCTTTTGAAATAAAATAATATTATCATTATCTGTTGTTGTTTTTTCTAATATTATTATTTCCTTTTTAATTACTAACCACCAAACTATTAACTAAACTATTTCAACTATTTCAATTAATTCAACTGGTTTCTATTTAATCTTATTAATAATAAAGTCTTTACTAAAAGAGAAAAAATAAAAAATAAAAAAAAAAACTCCCAAATATGATCATTGTCATCATCATCATACTTCTTCAGTATCCATAGGTGCAGCTTGACCTTGTTCTTCTTCTTGAATATCTTCAGTATCAACAACATTCTCTAATAAATTTAAAAATCTTTGTAATTCATCTTCCTCTATAATTTTAAATTTATAATCCACACCAACTATTCCAATTGAACAATTAAAAGTGTTAAGTTCTTTATCTTGTTGTAATGTATCACGTAAAGCATGAAGACCGTGTCGAACTAATTCATCAAGTGATGCTATTATATAAATAAATTTATTTATTTATTTATTATTTGAAAATAAATATTTATTAATATAAATTTTAACACACACAAAACGCAAAAACACACAACAAAACAAAAATTATAAAATACACAAAAAATAAAAAAAAAAAAGGATAAATAAAATAAATTAAATAATCAATACCAATAAATGTTATTTTTTTTATAATTTATTATCATTATTATTATTATTATCTGTTTTTATCATTCCCAGCGTAAGTGGGTTAACTTCCATGGGCTTCTGTAGTAATATAGAAAACTATGTATAGCGTTAACTTGGATACCACTCCATTTTCTTAATTAATAAACTTGAGGAAAGACCTTGCTGGAACAATCTGTTTTTATCATTATGATATTTTATTATTATTATTATTATTATTATTATTATTATTATTATTATTATTATTATTTTATTATTTTATTATTTTATTATTTATTTTATTATCATTTCTCCACGTGGTTGTTCTCCCTGCATAAATTTTTTAAATAAGATGATTGGAACTAAATGATGGATAATTATATTGGGAATTCAATATACGTGACATCATGTATAATATAATCAAATTGCAATTTGTTTAAAGTTATAAATCAGGGAAAAAAATAAAAAAAAAAAAAAAATAAATAAAATAAATAAAGAAAGAGAATGAATAGAGCGTTAAAACGATAAACAAATAAAAAAATTAAAAACATCATAAACTAATTACTGGTCAAATAATGTTTTATTTATATAATTATTTACCTTTTTCCTTTTTTCCTTTTTTTTTCTTTTTTCTTACTTTCTGTGTGGTTCATCATATCAAGAATTTTTTTTCCCTCCTTTAAAAATCTTACGAAATATCTTTCCATCTCTTTTACATCCTTTCCCGTTTTTTTACATAAACCTTTCACGTTTTTTTTACATAAACCTTTCACATCCCGCGTCTCCACCGCAACACAAAAAAAAAAAAAACGCACACATCCACATCTCATCTCTCTCAACAACCTTACACAAAATTCGCTCTCTCGCAACTAGCCTATTTAATTATTATAAACAAAAAAATTTTTCCTTTATTTGGTAAATTGGGTTATATTTTAAGTTTTGTATTCGTATCATTATTTACATTATTTACATTATTTACCATCGAAATCAAGATCGTCAAAATGTTGGTAGTGATAATAATAATATTTATGTTAAAGCCTATTTATTTATTTTTTTCGGTTATCCGAATTTTCGAAATTATTTATTTTTTTGTTTTTTTTTTAAAACGTTTTAAAACCACATGCAAAAAAAGACATAATAGCAAATCTACAACCATAAGTAACAAACATATACATACCACTAATAACAAAGTAACAATAATAATAAACAACACGATTATTTATTTTTTTTTCGATTTCTTTTTTTTTTCTAGGTTTTCGTCCATGTTATATTACATTTTTTGTAAATTCAATTTTCCATTG